TATATATATATATATATATATATACTGTATATATATATATGGGTAATTTGCATCTTAATTGTATTTTAAATTCACTAATCCGATTTGCCCTGCAGGCCTTCCACCCACATTGTCAGCCAGGCAGCAGACAGAGATGTAGGGTCTTGTGGGGGTTATAGCCGGAGAATGTGTAACCGCGGCTATTGCTACGAGCCAGATCGGTATTCTCAGCAGGACGTCAAACACTTTTCAGTTGGTGTTGGGACAACCCTGGTGGAGAACCATGCAGGGTTGTCAACAATTCTCAATGTGCAGCCTGGGGGAATAAAGTGTCTGATTTGGGTACCCCAGATTTGCCACATCTGCTCTTTGCAGATGATGTGGTTCTTTTGGCTTAATCAGACTGCTACTTCCAGCACCCACTGGGGAGGTTTGTAGACGAATGTGAAGTCCGGGGTGAGAGTCAGCACCTCTGTATCGGAGAACGTGGTTCTCTGCCTAAAAGCGGTGGATTGCTCTGGCTGGCTTTGGGAGTGTTTTCTGTCGCCAAGGGAAGAAGTTCAAGGATCTCCGGGACTTGAGGGTAAAATGGTGCGTGAAATCGGCAGGTGGGTAGATGCAGTGTCAGTCGTAATGCAGGAGTTGTACCGGACCGAAGTGGGGAAGAGGGAGCCGAGCCAGCAGGAAAAAGCTTTTCATTTAGCGATCGATCGATGCTCCAACACTCACCCATGGTCACCTATGAGCTTTGGGTAGTGATTAAAAGAATCAGATTGCGGATACAAGCAGTCAAGAGTTTCCTCCATAGGGTGACTCGACTCAGGGACCTGACACATCCGGAGGGAGCAGCTGCTCCTTTCCATCAAAGGGAGCCAGTTGGGGTGGTTCGGGCAACTGATCAGGATGTCTACTGGGGGTCTTCCTTTAGAGCTTTTCCAACTGGTAGGAGACCCCGGGGTAGACCTTAGCACACACTGCAAGGATCACTGTATGTGTCTCATCTGGCTTGGGAACACCTCAGAATGCCCCTGGATGAGCTGCAAAACGTTGCAGGGGAGAGGGACGTCTGGACTACCTCGCCACCACAACCTGGCCCCAGATAAGCGGCAGAAAATGGATGGATGGATAATCCAATTTGCACTTGAATTTTGATGCACCAGTAAGCACAGTCTGACAAATATAAAGTGGCATTTCTGTTTTACATTTTCTCTTCAACTGCATTTTTATTTTCTACTTTGCATTAATACATGAATTAAATTGACTATATACTTCTACATTCCTTGCTAGCTGATTCACTTTATTTTTCTGTTTCCTACATTGCATTAGCCCTTGAATAAAACCGACTTCTTTAACATTCTTTGCTACTTAATTCACCCCTTTCCCCTTTTTTTCTGGAACACGTTCATTAGGCTTAACTTCTGGTCGAATGTATTACGAGTGAATCATTCCTTACCCAGCAGGTCTGTTGCTTAACACAAATATCTGCGGGATTATAATTTGGCGGAATTGCCGCAGAGGAGGCTTTTACATGGCAGGCTGTGTGTAATGAGTGATGCTATTCATCCAGTTCTTTTTTTTTTGGGGGTTCAGATCGACTCCAAGTCACTGGGGGATAAGTGGTTTAGGAAGTGGGGGATGAGGGGCTTCCTGTGAGTGACTGAGGCCAGAGGGAGATAGAGGGGAGCCTCAACACCCTCCTTCCTGCCTCAGTACTGCGGGGAAAAATAAAACATGTTGCCGGGTCATTTATTTCCACAGCGGCATTAAGTCATGACACAAAGACACAGGAACACACACACACACACACACACACACATGAAGAGCCAAACAGCTACGCTCTGCCATTTCTCACCGACACAAACCAAAATTTGACGTCCATATACATTTTCCTAATCAAACAGTAACAAAGTGCAGCCACTACATTCATCTTTATGTATGGCAGTTGTATTGACCGGGGCCCTATGAGCCAAGAGGTGAGTGTATTAGATGGTGGCAAGGATGGATTGACTGTCGAGCTCTTACCCATTCTGCATTGCAGCGGGATCATATGTTAACGCCATGCCAGTCTGAAAGAGAGAAAAACAACGACACGCAGGATTAATCACAAATCAAGAGAGTCGGATCAGAAACACTAACAAATGACATGAAGCTGCAACAGGAAAAAAGTAGCAATTAAAAAGACATAACATTATCTTTTTTTTTGTTTTTACCATTAAGAGGAATATCTTAACATTTTGGAAAATGTGCTTATTTGCCATTTTCTGTGAGTTCTTCTGAGAGTTAAATGAGAAGATTTGTTTGTACATTTAGATTTTTGTACAGATTAAACGAATGAGATATGCCGTGTTAATTAGTGAGCTATCTTGTCATATAAGTTTCTGCAATAAGCGTATTTCCCAAAATGTCAAACTACTCCTTTAAGTCTTCAGACAGGTGCGTAGGACCAAACAACGTTATTTTGTTGAGTCACAAGATTTCCGTGGATAGACCTTCGTCAGGAAGGATTAATATCTTGGTCTAAATAGTATTGGACAGGTGCATGTACACTGGACCGCATTCTGTCACCTGAGTGTGTTATTTTGTTCCGGTTATGTTCTGTATGTCTCTGGGAAATCTGTCGATTTCTTCCTGCACCAATGTCACCCACATAATTCGCCGCACCTTTATTGTACTTTGGGTATAACGCGATTTGTACCCTGATTCTCTTTGTACAAAATACATTTAATCAAATTCATCTTATTTTTAAATTGGAAAAACTGACAAGTGACAAAGCGAATGTAGGGAACAGCTCCGTCAATAGGACAAAGTGAATTGGTATTGAGGACGTGTCTTTTTCTATTTCAATCACATATTAAATCATGTATTTATGAATGAGAGGAAATGAAGAAATGCCCTTTGGAGAGAAAAGGAGTGAGCAGAAAACTGAGTTCTTTGTCTGCTGATGGTGTGTGTGTGTGTGTATGTGTGTGTAAGTGTGTGTGGGGCCCTCTTAGAGTCCAGGAGAGAGACCTGTGCGCCGCAATCCGTCATCTGCATTCCTGAAGGTTCTCTCTTGGAGGAGAGCTAATCCGATTTCTTTTAACGGGAGGCTGCTGAGGACGGCAGATTTCATCAGCATACACACACACACACACACTCTCGCACGCACACATCGCGTATACACACCTCCTCTTCTTGCCCTTTCTCTCTCTGACTTTGCTCTCCCCCTTCTCCTTTCTTCCTCCATCATCTTGTGTTCTCTTCCTTTCTCTCCTTACCTTTCCCTCTTCATCCCTCATCTCTTAATCTACCCTCCTACCCTCTTTTTTTTTGCCCTTCTTCCTCCAGAGGGCTACCTACACTGAGCTAAGGGAATAGCAGCTCAGATGAGCAGGTGGGGATCAGGGAGCCTGGACCCAAACCTACTACATTGAGCAATCACAGATAATCTATACCGAATGAATGGGGATGTGTGGACGCATAGTTAAAAAAGGCTTTCAGAGACATTTCATGTAAAGCTGTAAAGGCCAGATGAAGGGACTCGCATCAGCCCGTGTTATTTAAAAATCTACTACTTTTGTGTGTTTTCACCTTCAGTGTTCAAAGTCCCCGTCTGTGAGTGTGCAAAAGTCTTTGTGTTTATACACCGTCTTTCAACTAAATGTGAGGTCAAGCCTGCATGTTTGCGTGTGCGAGTGTTCACATGTGCGCTGATAGCGGTGGCAGATGTGACCAGCTGTCTGGTGAGGCTGATATCTCCCTCCAGTGCTGCCCTGGGTTCCATGTTCTGGTGAATACCACAGCAGAGAAGCTCCTGACCGGAGACCCTGCCTGGCCAATGACTGATTACTGATGAGGTCAGCTTTTGGCTTTGTCGCAGAAAGGAGATAGGAAATGAAAGAGACAGTTTTTTATTTTTTTTCTGAGCTTCATTTAAAGACTGAAAAAATAAAACCTTGATACTGTACAGATCCTGCGAATAAAGCTCGGCTCTGACAAAAGCTGCCAGGGACGGACCAGGCCTTCAAAGAGCTCGCTAAAAGAACATGCTAATGTATCGGTCCACATCCAGTTACACTTTCTCACCTCATGCAGTGATTAAGATGATTTAACTGACACTGTCTATGCTCATGTCTATAATGCATCATTAACATACTTGTAACGTGTAATCTGCTCTTTGACTCATTCAAATTCATAATGCTTCATAACAATAATCATAAAACATTGTGAAAAATGTCCAAGTATCATAATACGTCACGATTGTGTCACTGACATTTTTCTTTTTTGCAAGGATCTAGTGTTTTAAAATTCCCATCGTTGTAAAACATTATAATCTTTATAATCTGAGCATTGTCTGCTTTCAGTAACGTTTTGTCTGTTCTTGGATCGATATATTTTTTTACCTTTACATAAAGCCAACAAGGGTAACTTACAATCACATTATAACGCATTTCAAAAGAAGGACTTCTTGAAGTCAGTCATTAATTCAAGTTTTTGCAAGTTGTGAATAATGCATTTATCTGTGCTCTTGGGTGTACAAAATGCATTTTGTCTTGTCTAATGCATTTTCAATTCAAATGTGAATGCATTTTACCTTACAGAGAGAGCAGCATTAAAAAACGTGTGCGTGCGTGTTAGCATCCCATGTGTTTAACACGCACACCCTAACAAGGGTGAGGCCGAGTCATCGTATCTGGGTCCTCACACACACACACACACACACACACACACACATACACACACACACACACCTGTCAGGCTTGCACACAGAGTGGAAAGCCAGATGTTTTTTTTCATCTTCACTCATTCCCCTGGAGTAGGTGCTTGTAGAAGTGTGACTTTGAAACTTTTTTGTGTGTAGGAGTGTGTGTTGGAGAAAGAGAGAGAGAAAGAACGAACACCCATGGTGCTTGTGTGTGTGTGTGTGTGTGTGCGTGCGGTGTATAAAAATGTGACTAATAAGTTTGTCAGCATGAGACAGTGAGACACAGCACTTTCTAGACTCCCACTTTGGGTAGTTTACAAGAAAATCTGTCATATCGTTTCTCAATCCTCACCATCAGCCCGCCCCGCAGCACTCAACCCCTTGTAACTCCTGACTGATCGCGCAATGTGTTCCCTCTCTCTTTCCTTCTCTTAGTCTCAGTGAGTCACTCGCTCTCGCTCGCTCCATATGTTGCTGTGGGATCTGGGAAGACTTCAAACGTGGAGGAAGAAGAGACAGAGTGTGACAGAGAGAGAGAAACAGCAAGAAGAGGAGGAGGAGGAGAGTGCGAGAAAGAGGCAAAAGCAGAGTGAGATATACTGTTGAGATAGAGAGAGGAAGAAGGTAGGTAGAGAGAGAGAGAGAGAGAGAGAGAGAGGCATGGCTGCATCTCTCCTTCATCTGCCTGCCAGGGGGAGCGAGGTGAGGAATGGCCTCAGCTCTGATAAACGGACTAACATGTGATGCCTATCTCCCATCTACCCCCTGCCCTGCCTGCACTGGTGATCAATGACCACAAGGATGCACACACACACACGCGTGCACACACACACACCCACGCACACTCACACTACATGCTATCCTCATAAGGGCCTTTCTAATGGCTCGAATAGGTGTAAATGCATGCAGAATGGCATCGGAGGAGCCAGATCATTGGAGGAGGTCTGACTTGCATTGCGATCAGATCTCTAAAAGGTGTGAATGCAAAGTGTAAAGAAGAAATCTGTTGAAAGGTCACCCGACTCTTTCTTCTTTTTGCTCTCTCCAGCGAGGCAGGCAAAAAGCTACAGATGACCCCCCCCTCTTCCTCAGCAAAGGACAACAAGTAGTCCGCTAGCTCGGCCTACCGAATTAGCATATTGGCATCCACGATCATAAGAATGCTTATTAATACCAAGTGCAAAAAGGCCGACTGTGTGACAAAATGCCAATCTGATAACATATCAGATTGCATGTTAATATCAAGTCTAAATGAGGTCTAGTCCTTTAACCTGGATGTTTACAGTCTCCGCCACGTGCTTAGCATTACTCATTACGCTTAACCTTATTCTCTCAACTGATAAGATGGACACATGTAAGAAATAATGTTTCTTTTATATATGTTGAGATGAATTGGAGATGAGGCGCTGTATATTTTGGCCCCAACACATGTTTATAATGACAAAGCCAAGCTTTCAGTCACTAGACCTTCAGCAGGACAAATCCCTGAGCTCATAATGACATCAAATGGAGCGCACCTGGGCTGTGTAATGAACATACACATGGGAAACGCTGTTCACAAAACACTGATGATGAATCAATGAAAAGCAGTATAAGTGTGCAGCGAGTTTTCTTTTCTCCGTGTCTGATTTTGCCGCACTGGTACTGTGTCTGAAACTGTGGTGATGTTCACAAACACTAAGTTATCGACCACGTGTTTCGGTGAAGAACATGCAACGGGGTCGGGACACTGTTGGAGCGGGATAATGCAGAGGAGGGATCTCTCTCTTACTAAGACAACATGGAGAACTTTAAATGGAGATGAAAACACAAATAGGAACACAAAGCCTTTGAGTTTAAAAGTGTGTTCAGACAGAAAGCAAAGCCCAAACGGCTTTAACACATTTAACACATTGTTTCTGTGTGTCTCTGCCTATTGACGGTTAGCTTGTAGTTTAATTTATTTTTCCATGATGATGAAAGCCAAAATCACATTTATAGCCAGTGGGACTAAATGCCTTCATGTGTGTGAGACCAACCCTGTCTGCTTAAACTTCAATTCATAATAAATTAACGGATTGGTTATTTTGCTCAACACAAAGAGGAAACTCTTATGCTTTGAATATATTTATATCGAATGTACAGCATCTGCAAACTGCTCACTGCCACTGAACATCCCTGCAATATGTTTTACTGTTGACCTTTAAATATGATTAAGTGTGATTAAGAACTTTAGGGTTATATTGAGGCAACTCAAAGCACTTAACCTTAGAGAGAGATTGTGTTCCTGATTGAGTATCAGGAAAGACACTGGTGACTTATAACACGAGGTAAGATGCATCTACTTTTTAAATAGTAAATCAAAACACAAGCTTTTCCTAAACTCCTGCTGTAGTTGCCTTAACCTGACAACATGTAGGACTCAGGACTCAAACCCAGGACTCAGGTCTTAAAGAGAACGTGAAAAACATACTCTTTCAGTGCCTGTGCACAGGGTGTGAGGAGTGGCTACCAACCCACAAACTGTGAAATAAGACAATCTGCTCAGTTTTTTGTGGCCTGAGAACATGTGATTCATCGAGCCATGATTCAGATTTACCTTTCCTTCCTATGTCACGTGCAGGCTCATCAGAATAAACTTTAGGCATGTAGACGAAGCATCAGAATGGGGAAGAAAGGTGCTGTAAGTGACTTTGAGCGTGACATGGTTTGTTGGTGCCAGACAGGCTGATTTGAGTATTTCAGAAACTGCAGGTCGATTGATTTTCATGCACAACCACCTCTAGGGTTTTTTTGACAGTCGCCGGTTTTCCTCTAGAAGGTATTTAGAAAAGCAAATTAGTAGGAGTAGTAGTTCTGTGTGACACCGTACGCAGCTGTTTTAAGTTACAAAAGGTAGTATGTGTTTAATGCAGAGGAGGTAAGGGGCGGAGAATAAATGAACAAAAGGACAAGTTGAGTGTTTCCTCCATTTTGACAATGTAGGTATTTTCCTTTGTTCTCATCATACACACACACACACACACACACACACATATCCACGGTCATCTCACTTTACCTCCAGTCAACTGAGTTGACCCTGTTACTGTGTGTTGGCCGGCGAGGAGATGTAGCAATACAATTTAGGTTAAACACGCTTCGCTGGCTTATAGATGTAAGCTGAACATGTGATGGACAGACAGACACACACACGCACGCATGGCTAGTGTAATGCTCCACCATTCACTTCACAACACACACACACAGTCACTTCACAACACCCACACACACACAGACAGAGCATGTGTTTTCTGAAGGACAAACATTTCATCTCTCATGGTCTCATCTACCTTGCAGTTTCAGCACAACTGTCAGCCTCACTGAATGTGTGTGTGTGTGTGTGTTCACTCTATTCTATATAGTCCAGTCGGAAGCACTCCTCCACACGTCTCCTCTGTGTGTCCTTCCCAGTATAGCTGGTTGGTAGCCTACAGTATGAAGAGACTTTAACCTTGCCTCCACATGTTGCTGATGAATATGTTACCATAGCTCTGTATCCAATTCCTGCTTTCTGATGTATGGCGGGAATATACGTGTTCAGTGAGGCGTTCGGCTTGAGATGCAATTTGCGTGACAGCACCTATACATCTGGGGGCAGTTTGATCGATATCTGGGGTACTTTTCTTTTCTTTTTTTTTTTTTAACGGCTCCATAGCTTAGAGTAAATACAAACGACTGGCAGTAATGGTTTACATAAAGCCAGATGTTGGCAACTTCTCAAGTGGCCTTGTGAGCACGGTGGGGCCTGCTATTAGAAATACCATTACCTCAGAGGTAAATGCCTTGTCGGTAATCGCCTTGTCATGATGGAATGGAAAGAGTTTGGCCGACTGAGATTTTTTGGCCATACCTGGGTCTCCTGTCGATCAGTTCAAGAATAAATGTTGAGGAAATTATGTAAAATTGTGAAAAATTAGGTTGTTACACCTGTCTCAATGCTAGAGAGGAGAGGCAGGGGTTAGGGTGTGGCCGAAAGCGCAATGGACTTTGTCATCATAATAATTTTGTTGAATTGTAAATGATGGTTTGTCCTTAATGATTATTAATATTGCTGTTGTGGCACACCAAATTCAGTTGATCATTTATCATATTCTTGTCAGGTGATCCTCATGCAGAAAAAAAAAAGTAGTCTAGTATTCGGTGGGATCTGCACATGTTGAGAGATGACGGCTCATGCATTGGTGTAACATCTTAAATGGTAAACAGACTTTTCATATCGCGCCACACTTCGACATGTGGCCTGGAAGAGCCGGGGACCCTACCGAGGATCAGTGGACGACCCGCCTTACCCCCCCCTGAGCCACAGTTGCCCTTGCTCGTCTTACCTCGCCTTCTCTGTGCCACGGCCTCCCGTTCTGAGGGTACTTGCTCTGGCTCTGGCGTTTCTTCTGCCCTCCGTCGGCAAATTTGCACAGCAAAGGCTCCGTGGGAGCTGCAGAGAGAGAGAGAAAGAGAGAGAGAGGACAAAATCACATTAGGAGGACTGCATACTGTGACCCATCAGAGAGACAGAAGCCCTTTTGAACTGGGTCGCATTTCTCTTCTACCATCTTCTCTGTCTCCCCCCCCACCTCCCTCCCCTCTTCTTTCCTACGGAGCTCCAAGAAAAATTCCCAGACTGACGATGTTGGCAGGCTACCCGCGCTACCCCCGGCCCGGGCTGGCAGCCCATGAAAGAGCATTGCAGGGTATTGTTGAAATAATAATCACAGTAATCGCTCTTGTAAAATACCTCTGAGATGGTAATGCAGGACCGCTCTGTCAGCCCAAGCTTCTCTTTTTTTTTTCTAGAAGGCGTTCCTGACACGTAATCCCTCCGTGTTTCACTTTATTAACAGGCTTTTTCTCTTTTAATTGAAATAGCAGAGGCTGTCACAGATGGTAATGTGGCTGTTCTCTGAGTAAACACTGGGGGCATCCTAAATCGTGAGAACAAAAGTAACAGAGGATTCACTCGAGTGCCCTCGCTACAGAGCTGGCAAGTGTCTATCATCAGCCGGCAGGAAAACATGACGCTGTTATTAATCTAATAAGAAGAATTTTAAAAAAGCTCTCTGTACTGCAACCTCATCCAAGCCGCCTCTGTATCAACAGCCTTTTGTATGCATGATTGCAGATAAGAGGTTGATGAAAGTGTTGCGATGACCTACGCCGCCATGAATGTAACTTCTCAAAGGGCACTTTCTCACACTAGAGCTGCAGGTGAGCACCGACAGAGACAAAAATGGAGTCAGGTAGAGAGAAAATGTAGCGAATGATGAAAGAAAGGCTCAATGAAAGAGAGTGAAAGGGGGGAGGAAAAAAAAAGCAGATATGAAAAAAGCTTTTCTCATGAGAAACTGTCGGCTCTCTTGGCCCGGGATCTGGGGGTCTTAACATTGTCCGTCCCCCTTTCCAGTCTGCGTCAGCGCGATCGGAATCTCTTTGGAGGCAGACTGTGGAGCGATGAGAGAGGGGAATGGAGACAGTTGGACCAACGAAAAGAAACAGAGAGCGTGAGACAAACAAGTCAGAGAAAGAAACCCGGGAGGAGAGTGAAAGAGATAAGAGGAACAGGTGAGCGACCGTGGGAGAAACAAGGGAAACGGAGTGAGAATCTACACCGGGATCAAGCGCTCTGTTCCCTGTGAAGGCCGCACAGTTCAGCAACAGTACAGCGCGCACCGAGCCAGCGAGCTTGTCCAAACACCTGAACCGCTGCTGCCCTGCACCTGGTGGCTTAGAAGGGACCTGACGGCCTGTCATCGCGTTCGCATTACGGGCCTGGCAGCTCGCGACACGGCCGCTCCGTGACGACACAGGCAAACTGTCTGCGGCAGAGGTGAGCAACGGGACCTTTCATCACACCGGGAGGATTGTTGATGGTTTAATCCCCGCTCCCCAGATGTTTGGAGGCGCTTGGGCCTTGATAATATTGCAGCATGCACAAGACAGGGGAGAAAGACGTGGTGTCGGGATCGACAAGGTAGTGAGTGACGGCAGTAAAACAAGCTGGAGTGAACTTGTGACGAGCGAGTGTTCCAGTTGAAAGAAATAATTAGGGCGTTGATGAGCTAACATGATAATGTGTTGATTAATTTACATTTTCTGCCACATTTGAGGGAATTCTTTTGTAATTACACTGTGTGGGAGGGACGTGGCACAAACGAAACGCAAACAAACAGAAACTTAAAATGTGTTTATGTGGCTCGAGGGTCTACAATGGGACCAAACTTTTCAGAGTCAGCCCAGGAGAATGTTGCCGGGGAGGGAGAGTGAGAGAGACGCTGCATAAGAAAAACAACAAAAGCTCTTCCAAACCTCTCCTCTGGCACTCTGAGAGATAATTAGCAATCGAAGAGATTTGCCGAATCTGAAACGGAACACGCTGACGTTACCCCCGTGACTGCATCCCCAGTTCCCACAGCGAGCTGGCCAATTTATTTAAGAGCGCGGCCCAAGATCAACAGCCTCATACCGCCCCGCCTGCCCTGTGATCACACTCACCCCTCCGTAGCCCCGACACACACAAACACACACACACACCCTTAAAACCGCTCTGCTACGACCCAAGAAAACACGCAGAAATACCGACAGACACATAATGCTAACTGCTGCCAGCCTAAAAACCTTTCTTAGACCTCTCGCCATACAGCGTCATCACTGGCACAGCCCGGAATAAACTAGGCCACTGGCTGTTCTTACTAGCATGCTGATGCTGCTTCTTTGGGAAACGGGCTCCAAATACAACACATTTCACACTGGCTGCAGTATGTGTCGAGGAGGCCGCTTAAAAAAACCCCCCAAAAAGTTGCCTTATGAACCAATTTGCTGCCCTTTAATGGTCCAAAATCGTGGGAAAAACACATAAAGAGCTTTTGGTCAGAGGTCAACAACTGCGCTAACAAGGTGCTCTTCGGGAACACCTAATTGTATTTTATGTGTGTTGCTGTAGAAACCGGTAAACACGTTAACGAGGGGCGACCGCAGACATGCAGTACGCACATGCATGTGTGCCAGATAAAAACTCACGGACAAGCACACAAAGTGCTAGACGGTTCACCGAGAGGAAGATGCCTCACGTGATCACGGCCTCGGCTCAACCACACTCCAGACTGCACGTTTGGCTCTGAAGAGACAGTCAGTGGCTTTCTGCCCATCAATAGACCCATAAGCAGCCAGTAAAATGAACCAACGAGTGCATGCATATGTACTTCTGTAAGACACAGTGCAATTACAATAGCCTTTTAAATTGAGGCTTGTTTCACTTTTGAGTGCAGCGTTGCATAAGTAATCGTTGCTGTTACGGCATCTGGGGGAAATCAGCCCTTTGTCTGCAGAATAACAGCCAGCGCAGCGAGACCACCAGATCTCACCGTTCCTTTTCTTCATGGTATCTGCAGGTGTGTGCTCCGGATGGCCCCGCCAGGCCAGCTGAATAACATCTTCATCCGTGAATGCAAATCAGCCCGTGCATTAAAACGCATCAGTGTCTGCATGTTGTGCAATCATTCCGCTGCTCAGAATCGGATTGCACATCTGTTTGGCCTGAATGGTGAAATCAATGCAGGAATGCCCCCCGAGCCGCAGAAGGAGCAGGGTAAAAGGGTTTCAGTGAAACAGCCAGCTTTTTCACCATCGCGACGGTTACAAAAGAGGCTTCTCACAAGGGCTCGAAGGGCAAACTGTGCTGGCCTTGCTTTGCTCTCGGTCTGTGCAAAGCCCTGAAGAGGGTCGAACAGAGGCAGCTGTTCGGCCACTTGTACCAAAATGTGTCAGCCTGAAAGGGCTTTAAGAGAAAGGAAGTTTTCCACTTCTCAATGACAACTTTGGTTCAAGGTTCCAACAGGTTTCCTGGCTTGAAGTTTCCTCAGCTCAGCGTCTCTGAAAAGTCATTCGGGTGGCTCGCTGTGTTTCACTGCAAGGACGTGTTTGGAGGGAATCGAGAAAAGGAAGAAAGAGGACAGTATTTTATTGGAACTCTGCGGCACTCCGACGCTGCTCGGGGGGATCTCTAATTGGATCAACAACTGTCTGATTCCCATCAGCCAGCTTGACCTGTCTGCCCAGACTGAGGAGGCTGTGTATTATGGGAAAGGGAGAGAAAAAAAAAAGAGTGGGAGGGAGAGAGAGAGAGAGACAGAGGCAGATACATGAGGAGGAAGGTGGCACAAGGGACAGTGTTCTAGAAATAGATAAAGATGAAGTAGCCATGATATGAAAAACATATTACAGGTGCACAGGACAAACGAGAAGGCACATGGACCAAAACTACAGCGGCATTTATATATGTCGCCATTTTTAGAGTCAAATGGGCGAGCTCAGAATGGCCGCCAACCGGGAAGACAGGCGGCAGCAGCTACCGCCCTACGGGGAGGGCTTTGACGGGTCCCAGTCGATAGCTCTCACAACTGCCACGCTGGCCTCGCATCCTTCAGCGCGGAAATGAAGACGGTCCGCCAGCCGTTTTGCTGACAGGGACGGCACACGCGGCTCAATGACACGGCCCGATAAATGGAGAGGGCGCCGAGAGGAGAGCGAGACAAAGAGGGAGAGGGAGATAGATGGAAAGGCGGATACGGTGTCATAGAGAGGCAACAAAAAAAAAAAGACATGGTGAGACAGTGACGGAAAGAGACGGAAGAGAGAGGGACTCGGCGATGGCAAAAGTGACAGGCGCCGTCCAGTTTTCCCCCTCACGATCTACGGTATATACTATATAGAAGAGTGAGTGAGATAAGTATAGGGAGAAAGGATGTCAACAACGCCTTCGCTTCTCACTCTGCATCCGCTACACATGCTCTACGGCTATTGATCAGCCTTCGCTCAACCTTTCCCATAGAGGGCTTCTGCAGCACGCCAGCCGGTACAAGCCTGAGATGATATTATGGATTACGGGAAAGGATGTGGAGGGAAGAGCCCTGGATGCGGGCGGTAGAAGCCTGATCGATGAGCTATTGCGCACTTAACAAGAGTAATGTTATGTAGGGAGTCTCTGACATGCTAATCCATCTCTCACTCTCTCCGTCCGTCTCCCGCGATCGCTCTCTGTCGTGGTTATGTGCTGTTGGCCCATCTCTCTCACCATTTCTTTCTATCTATCTATCAATCCATCTATCCATCTATCTCTTCATGCGCCGCTGAGCAGACTCTGATCCAAGACCAGATTCAAACAAATAAAGCTGATGGATGAGATGAGCTCCATCTGTGTCTGGCAAACAGTCCGTCTAAAATGCAGTAGACTAACGACATTCGACTGAGCCCATTTAATGGCGGTGGGAAAGCAAAACACGCTAACATGGCTTTTAGCTAGTCCTGGAATTCGCAGACATCTTTGTGAAACGTTCGGACAGAGAAGGTGAAGACCATTCCGCATGAGTGCAGCTGAAATTATTTTAGCAGATGAAAATATTGGTTGCGCCTCAGAGTACAGAATGAATCTACCCTTACAGT